CACCAAACTATGATAATAATCCAAAACTATTCATGATTCATCCACTAGATCATCCATGTATTCATTCAAAAATTAAAAAAAATAAAATTACAAGATCAAGTTAGAAAATATACCTTGGGGAGATGAGGAAGAAGCCCAAGAAATTGAAGAAAAATCCCTCCAAGTGGTCTAGATTCCGTATAAGTTTGATGGGTGAAATTAGGGTTTTAGAAAGGGGTAAATCGGGTTTTGGGGAGATGGAATGAAAGAGAAGGAAGTTGAAGGGTTTTTATTCCAATAGCCAGCGCATCGATGTTAGCATCGATACGGGCATAGATGATGGGCATCGATGCCAACATCGATGCCCAAATTTCTGGCGTTTGGGCCAGCCGGCCCAAATACGAATTTTCTTCAATTTCTTTTTTCTTTTTTTTCTTTCTTATGGGCTAGTGAATATGGGCCGAATTTTTGTTGTTTTTTTTAAGTGAAAGACAAAAATGTGTATATATTTATATATTTCAAAAATTTCCCCAAATCCGCTCATCTCTCTCACATTTCCTCTCAATCTCTCCCCAAATCCGCTCATCTCTCTGAGCCGCCGCTTTCTCCTCCGACGAGATCAGCCCTCCTCTCAATCTCTCACATTTCCCCAAATCTGTGCATCCTCCTCCAACTAGATCAGCCCTCTGAGCCGTCGTTTTCTCGAACGTCGTGCTGCTGATCTCGCCGTCATCACTCTCGTCGTCATCCTCCCTCGGACTCGGACTCATCCTCCCTCGGTCTCGTCGTCGTGCTGCTGATCTCGCCGTCGAGCTGCTGATCTCGCCGTCGATCTGGTGCTGATCTCGCCGTCGATCTGGTGCTGATCTCGTCGTCCTAAGCCAGAGTTCGTGAGCCGGATCCGCTCATCCTTCTCCGTCCTCCTCCCTCCGAGCTATCCTCTCTCAGGTGAAATCCCATCCCAATAAAAACCCAATAATAATTCATGTTAGTTGGATTGAGTTAGTTGTTTGATAACAAGTCCGTTATCATAGTTAATCAAATTTCTGCTACAATAGATTTTTGTTCTTGGTTCATAGTTAATCAAATTTCTGTTAGTTGTTTACAACAAGTTCGTCATCATAGTTAATCAAATTTCTGCTACAAATAATTATATGAAGTTAAGTAATGATTTGGATAATAACCCCACGAGAATTTATAGTCTATAACAGTGAATTAGCTAAGTTAATCAAATTTCTGCTACAAATAGATTTTGATCTTGGTTTATATTTATAGTCTATAACAGTGAATTTGCTAATGAAAAATTATCTGTGTGAAAGTTAATCAAATTTTTGCGTGAAAACAACAAATTAATAAGATAGACTTTGAATGCAAAGTGGGGTTTTGCAACTATTTTTCCCCAATGAATTAATAAGCTAAGTTTGTATTTCTAACCACAATAGAAATACTAAGTTTGTTTTTATTGAATTTATTTTCTTCTTTAGGAGTTCGGAATGGAGTCAGAGAATTCAACTACTGTAGAGTTCGGAATGGGAGAATCAAGTGTTATTGGAAGTGAAATTGCGGCCAATACTGTAAATCATCCTAAACCACTACTTGGAATGAAGTTTAATAGTTATGAAGAAGCTTATAATTATTATAACTCTTATGCATTGTTGATGGGTTTTGGAATAAGGAAGAGCACGGTAAATTACTCTCGCAAAACTAGAGAAGTGGTAGACAGAAAGTTTGTTTGTGATAAGGAGGGCTATAAATCTAATAGAGACAAGATAGAGATCTCTCTTCGGCGAGAGACCCGAGTGGGATGTAAGGCAATGATGCGAGTTAAATTAATGAAGGACAAATCGTGGGAGGTCACGGGGTTTGTTGAAGAACATATAAATCATGTGTTGAGTAGTCCAGACAAAGCAAAAATGCATAGATCACATCAACAATTTCATAAAACTCAAAGATGTAAAAAACTTATTGATAGTCTGCGAGAAGAAGGTATGCCTCCTTCCACTATTTCTCGCGTCATCAATGCAACTAATGGAAGAGAAGGTGAAATAGTGACACCACAATAATGCATTGATCATATCAGAACCCAAAGAGTCAACAATATTGGTCATGAATGCATATCTATCATTCGACATTTTCAGAGTATGACAGCGAATGATCCAGAATTTTATTTTGCAATAGAAGCAGACAATAGTGGAAAAATGAGGAGTTTTTTGGGCTGATGGAAGATCAAGAGCATCTTATTTGCAATTCAGTGATGTTATTGTCTTTGATGTGACATACAGAACTAATAAGTTCAGTCTTCCATTTGCTCCATTTACTGGTGTAAATCACCACAGGCAGTCTACTTTACTTGGTTGTGCATTATTAGCCGGTGAACAGGAAGATACCTTTGTGTGGTTATTTCAAGAATGACTGAAATGCATGCATGGCATTGAACCAGGTGCTATTTTAACAGATCAGGATAGAGCAATGTGTAATGCTATTCACTCAGTGTTTCCAACGACAAGACACCGTTATTGCTATTGGCACATGCAAAAGCACATTATGGATCATTTGCCTACTTTGGGGTCTCGTTATGGTGAACAGTTTCAAAGGTATTGGGGCTTGTGGTATAATAGTGCTTCAATTGAACAATGTGAAGAATATTGGCTTGAGATGAAGGAGAAGTTTGATATAAATGAAGAAGGGGAGGGATGGTTACAAACAGTTTACAAATGTCGAGAACACTGGGTGTCATGTTATCTGAAGGACATTTTTTTTGCTGGAATGAGATCGAGCCAAAGGAGTGAAAGTGTTAATGCATTTTTTGATGGGTATGTTAACTCACAAACTCAATTACACGAGTTTGTGACACAATATGTAAAATCAGTAACTCATCGTCGCTTAAGTGAAGCCCATGAAGATTTTAAGAGTCTTAACACAAAGCCTGTCATGCTCCTTGGACATCCGATTGAGGTCCAAGCTGGTGAAATGTATACACGCAATATGTTTGATGTATTCCAAACTGAATTCAAAGGATTTGGTACAGAGTTTTGTGAAGAATTGAAAAAAGATGGGGACATTGTTGAATACAAGATCTGTAAGTTTACAGATAGAGAAAAATGGGAGGTGGTTACTTATGAACAATCTAGTCATATCCAGTTCTGTTGCAGTTGTGCTTTGTTTGAAACTAATGGTGTTGTATGTAGACATATATTGTCGCTAATGATAGCTATGCAGATGGATTCATTACCCGACCATTACATCCTACACCGTTGGACTATACATGCTCGACATCGTAACATTGGGGTTGGTAATATTATATTTGGAAGAAACATCACACGCTGTGAAGAGAAGATTAATTTATTGAAATCTTGGGCTTTAAGAGCAAAATTCAATAATGTGCTCGAGCTTGCATTTGCTTCAGAAGAGAAGATGCAAAAACTAGATGATGTGCTAACAAATTTCATAGAATCACTGGAAGATGAAATTGGAGAAACTCAAGATCAAATGATGGATATTCCTCAAATTTCCGCACCCATCTCACATACAATGGAACACATTCCTCATATTACAGTTCGTGATCCTGATAGACCTGCAAGGACTAAAGGTCGTCCACACAATGCTACTAGAATCCAATCAGGTTTAGAACAAGCACAAGAAAAGAAAGAAAGGAAGAAACGTATATGTAGCAGATGTCGTGAACTCGGGCATTATAGAACTAGCTGTAAAGTCAACTTGCCAAGGTACAATTAATATTTTTTCATGAAACTTTTTCTGTTTGATTAAATTCTCGGTAATGATTATTTTGTAATTTGATTTACAGCTCAATTCTCGGTAATGATTAAAATTTTCTCGGTAATGAAGGGCTCAATATTTTTGAGGTAATGATTTGCAGCATATGTTTACACATATGTGAAGGGCTGAATATAGTTTAATGCGCTCAATTCTCGGTAATGATTAAAATTTCTTCTCTTTTATGCAGCTATCTTGTAAAATCCGAGTGAATATATAGCATCAATGGTGGCTGGTTGGAACACAAGTTGAGCATTCTCTTTTATGCAGCTATCTTGTAATGTGATTTGAGCTTATATTCAGCTACTTTGGTTGTAACTTTGGAGGTTAAGTCTGTCTTTGATGAAACTCTGTTTGATGTTGTAACTCATGATGTAACTCTGTTTGATGCTTGTAGCTTTGCTGTGGCTTATATTCAGCTACTTTGGTTGTAGCTCAATTCTCTTTTATGCAGCTATCTTGTAATGTGATTTGAGCTTATATGCAGCTATCTTGTAATGATTATTCAGCTACTTTGGTTGCATCTGTTTCTTGTGATTTGAGCTTATATGATTTGCAGCTCAATCCTGGTGTTTCAGCAGGGTTTTAGAAGCATTTGGAAGTTGTTCTGTGAAAAGCAGAAGCAATAATATTTTGTAAGGGACTGACCGTTTTTTTTTTTTGTTGTTGTGAAATTAATCACAAGGCTGATTATGGCCAAAGCTGTGAATATTTGAGATGTAATCCAATTCCAGTCATAATAAGTTTGAAAGCAAAAGCATCGTATGGTATAATGAAGTTATACCATACCCCCATATCATTAAGGGTGAGAATGTGTGATGCTGGGACTTGAAGCATACTTGAGATTCCAGTGCCTCGATCATGTCAAAACTAGAAGGCTGGGCTCTCAATAAGCTCCCAGGACGTTTAGCATCTGCAAAATCCTGGGAATGGCTTCAATCGGAAACAAAATGCTACATGATCATTCCTTCACTAAGATCCTCATGCTTGAAAGAACCTGTGTTCTAACTACAAATATTGATAGTAAACAACTGACCAAATACATGGTTTGGTTGAACATCGGACATTTGACAGTCTCCCCATGAAAAAGATACATGGTTTCAGCCCCACTATTCAATCTTACTTCCACATCAACCAAAATTTCAACTTTAAACTGCATCAAGTAGGACAAAACCAAACATCAATTTCGCCAGCAAACAACAAAAACCATCAAAATGGTCTCACCTGAACGAGTCCAGACTTTGCGATTATAAAACAAATTACTATTCTAATTTGTCTGAAGATACAAAACCAGAACACCAGAAGTTCTCATCAACATACACTTCCACAAAGAAGGATAATACATTCTTACACTCTACTTAGCACAAATCCAATAAAAATACCAAATACAAATCCAAGAAAAATACCAAATAAAAGAGCAAATACAACAAGCTTTAACAAATCCATAATATCAATCTCAATCTTTCTCTTTTCCCGCAATTCTACACTTGACACGGCTCTTGAACTTGCGGCCTCACGCTCGACAGCTTTGTTTGAACAAGCCCTGTCTTTGAACCTTCAATCTCCTCTTCATCAGATACTCATTTGAAGAATCCACAATTACTCACTTTCCAATTAGCGCATCCCAAAAACAATCGACCATGGTTCGTCTTAGTTCCAGATCTAGAGAGTATAACCCTCCTTCCACAATGGCACAACAGTCCATGACGATTGCTTGAAGATGACTCCATGATTCACGGCTACAGACACAAAAGTTTGCATATTCATCGCAATTGAAAAATAATAATTGGCAAAAAAAATTAAACTACAAGGGTCTGTCCCTTTTTCTTGCTTGGAATTCTAACCGTGATCAATGACTAACGAAGCGAACATTTCACTTTTCTCACAGCAAGTCACAGCATACCCAGTAGAACAAAGTCAAAACTTGGCCCCTTTCAAAAGTTACCAACTTTAACTATCATATAACGTAAATTTTGATCAGCCAGAATCATTATTCTCGGTCCTCTTGCTCTCTCTTCACCACTGAATCTTCTCTTTGATAATAGCACGTCTCTCTCCTCTCAATTCAAAAATTTTCACTCTTCTTAGCAATATTTCGTAGTGGAAACTATTACAAGGACTCTGATATTAATAAAATAATAATAATTTTGTATTTGAAGAATGTGACATGATAATGAACATTTCAGGAAACATATATCAAAGATAAACTTCGCCAGAAACTAATATCTGAGAATGACATTATAGGAACAAAAAAACAACTGACATAGTCCTCGTAATACTTCAGTAACCACCAATGAATTTATGAACCTAGTTATCTAACCACTAACTCAATCCAAAACCACTACATAATCCATCAAATAATTAAAATAAGCAGATCAATGTGAAGAATACTGGCAGATAAGAGATCTGGTCTTCGATAAGAGAAAGACCAGGTTTCATAAGAGAAAGACCTTGTTATCAAACAACTAACTCAATCCAACTAACAGGAATTATTATTGGGTTTTTATTGGGATGGGACTTCACCTGAGAGAGGATAGCTCAGAGGGAGGAGGACGGAGGAGGATGAGCGGATCTGGCTCACGAACTCTGGCTCAGGACGACGAGATCAGCACCAGATCAACGACGAGATCAGCTCGATGGCGAGATCAGCACCAGTTCGACGACGAGATCAGCAGCACGACGACGAGATCAGCAGCACGACGACGAGAGTGATGACGACGAGACCGAGGGAGGATGAGGACGAGTCCGAGGGAGGATGACGACGAGAGTGATGATGGCGAGATCAGCAGCACGACGTTCGAGAAAGCGGCGGCTCAGAAGGATGATCTCGTCGACCTCCTCCTTCGAAGGCTCGAGATTTGTGAGCTGATGTCGTTGGAGGAGTGCTCGAGAACTCGTGAGCGGATATGGGGAAGCGACGGCTCTGTTGCAGGCGAAGGCTCGAGATCTCGTGAGCGGATTTGGGGAACGGCGGCAACGAGTCTCGCCGGAGGAGGGCTGATGTCGTCGGAGGAGGGCTGATGTCGTCGGAGGAGAAAGCGGATTTGGGGATTTGGGGAAAATTTTGAAGTCACGAGTTGAGATTTGGGGGGGAGAGAGAGAGGTCACGGGCATAAATTTCACGGTCATAAAGCGACGTTTTTTGCAATAAAACCCCTACAGCGCACAGAGATGGTGAACTGGCAGCTCACCTACAGTTTCCTCTATATATATATATATA